TTACGTAAAAGCTTTTAAGATATATCTTATTTTGAAGGTTTTTGTAAGCACACAGAATATAATCATTATTTATGGTCAATTGACTGAAGCCGGTGAAAATGGTAAGGTCATAATTAGAATTGCAAGGAAGATCTGCACCTCTTCGTAATCGAAATCCCAAAATAATAACAAAAAAATATTTGGCGGAAGGCCATTACTCTTAGTGTACAAAAATGGTAAGTATATAATCGCAGATGACAATTAAATTTAAATATATTATTCACTGACCAGCATGTCCTCAACTGATCTTACGAAATATCTTACTCCTGTCATCTCCCAGTGGGCCAATTCAAGCGTATTTGTGGTTGCTTTAGTCCAACGCAACTCAGGCAATGCATAAACGAAAGAAAATACTACAAATTTTTGTGAAAACTTATTGGAATATATACTCGAAATTTGGGCTGTTCGGCAACATCCATAGATTACATTCCACGTAATATGGGAGCACATATATATGAAAACATAACAAAATGATTATTTTCCAACGCAATTTTACTTTTCCTGCTATATTCACTCAGTGGTTTTGTATAAACAGGCATCCTCTAGAAGTAGAACTTAAGTTAACCTAGTAATCCCGATTTCCACTTTTTCGGAATTTTTCACTTTGCTAAAAAAGCTTGCATTTCTATTAAACGTTATATTCCTTCAGAAATCACAACATGCCCTATTGTAAAGAACGACCATTTGTTTATTGTTGTAAGACTTTTGGGGCCGCAGCTTCGGTTGCGTTTGAATAACAGGGCGTTACTTGTAAAAATACTTGGATTTTTATGACTTAGTGCACCTACTGTGCTTTATTATTGGCTGTAAATGAACTTACCTAATGATAAGCAGTGTCTTTGTATAAGAAATATTTCAAAAAGATAACGCATATGAAATGTGTAACTACCAGTCGGTTTTTTATGTTTCCTTAAAAAATAAGAGGACCTTGATTCATGCACAACATACGTGATCAAGACACAGCACAAACTACTAGTAACGTTGCTGATGGTGTTTTATTCAATATAAAAGACTGA